CAATGTGACACGCTGCCATAATTGCCCTGTTGTGTTCCTGCTTCTCCAGCACGTGCCATGATGTCACACCCTGAATCCAAGTTTGAATAGGTTTGGGGGCTGTCTTGCAGTCACTCAGTCCAAGAAAAACAAGGTTAATACTTAAAGGGATATATTTTTCTTTTGCCTACTCAGTGTGTGTTCAAATAAAACAGAATTAGGAACATAGAAGAGAGTGAAGTCAAGTGGCCCATCAAAATTTAAACCTGCTCACTAATCCAGTCTTGTGCAAGGTGCTGTCAGGGGTGGAAGGTGGAAAAAGGCCCCTAGGAAATCCAAGTCTTGTAATATATGCAGCTCCCATTAGTTTACCTCAGTGGGTCAGGGCCTCTTGTAGTACAAATGCCACTTTGCATTCATGGGATTATAGTCTCATCCCAAATTTCAGCCTCTTCTATATAACGAAAGTATTTGGAAACATTGGATGTCACTGTGCAGATATAAGCTTAAAAATATATATCCCTGTGGCTGCTATGTTTCTTGTGGTTCTGTATAATGTTATAATAGAAAGGCAGACCTGGAAATTAATTTGTGTCAGGAAGAAAAAAACACAGCTCTTTAAGCAAAATGCCAACATAATGGGCTTTAATTTTCAGATCCCTAGACTTATTGGTTCGGGTTTATGTTTTTTAACGTTTATTTTCAGTCTTAAATGTTTGAACATTGCAACTGGCAGAACTGCCAGTCTGTAAAACACTCAGCTGTGGCTGCAAACTGGATCTCTGTCTGAGGCACTGCAGATACGGAGTGGTGCAGCGCAGTGCCTGCACTTGCAGTAGGTCACTGTGACATGGATTAGTGAAAAGCCTAAGTTCCATGCTCTAAAAGAAGTTATGGGGGATAATGAGTAGGATAATGAACTGGTCATCGAAGCTCTCTAGTGTGCATATTGGTTTCTAAGGGGCTACGAAAGCATAAGTTGGTGTTCGAGTGGGTTAGGAGCAATAAATATGCTTCTCTTCAATATGGGAATTTTCCTGTTTCTTGTTAAACTGTTTTATTCAGAGAATTCAACTGACAAGCAGAGAGGCAGGATAGGACATTTCCTTTTGTTTAGCACCTGGACACTGAGGTATTCCTGCAGAGGCTTATTTCTGTCCAACTTGGTGCTTTTTCTGTAGAATGTCTCTTCTGCAAAAAGTATCAGCACAGCTAGAAGAGCACAGGGGCATTAGAGTTCTGGCTTTTGCTTTCTTTTTGGCAGGGGCGTGTTGGTTGGTTTGTTTTGTTTGGTTTTAATGACGTGTAAGCATAAGGGTCTCTACACTCTTATTTTGGCAGATCTATTTTCAAAGAGTATTTAACCCTAAACACTGAATCAGTGAAGCCACACCTCTGAGGAGTGACCTCTTAAAATCCGTGAGATGTATTCAAAACTCCCTCCTGTTTCCTAAAAATCCTTAGTTTACTCTACATTGAACTGAATGGATGGATTATTCTATCTAACACAAATCCAAAGGTCTGGGAACGATAGACTTCTTTTGCAAGTCTAAGATATGATATAGAAGTCTTCTGAAGGAGAAAGTAGTGCCGTCAACTTCTACCAAAGCATTTTGGAAGTACTTAATTTTTTTCTAAGACTGGGATTTAAACCCTTTCTGTTATTTAGGCAACAGGAAAAATACAGCACATTCTTATGGTGTCAAGAATTTGTCCATTTCTTAAATTTAGGAGCTGTAGACCATCAGATAGAGAAAGAATGTGAATTTCATTTTATATTGCTTTTCTTTTTTCCTTATCTTGGGCTTAGAAATTTGGTCAGAAATTACTGTGTTCTCGTGAGAAAGTAGTAATGTTTGTATTGCAGCTTTAATGTGCTGCTTCACTGCAAACAAATGTTATTTTGTTCTTAAATATTATGGCATCTACCCTGTTTTTGTACCACCTACCTAGGTCTTCAGTAAGCCTTTACACTGACAGGAAGGATATGATAAATGTAATTTTCTTATAAGCACATCGTACAGTGTATCAAAACTGATATTGTGTATGTATGGAAAGCAGTAAATGATACTGGAACAGGATGATGAATATCAGAATTTCATCCACTTTAACTTTACACTCCCTTTGAGTCCACTTGATGTGGGAAAGTCTGTTTCATAACACTTAAATTCACGTGAAAAATCAGCACATCTCATAGTGCTTTTTAACCAAGCATTTTACACAAACAAGAATTATTTCCCTTGCTGCAAACAAGGCTACAGTTGTTAGGCACTGCTGCAGAGCAAAAACTTCTGCTTTGTATGTCTGAAGTTAAAGCCAAGCCCGTAGCAACGGGCCATGCAGAGCCATACTCGGCTTGATCCATTGGGTCAATTAAGTCTTTGGTGCGTAAAAATATCGAAGAGAGAAGAAAAAATACATGCTATCTATGCATATAGCGCTTGGGAAGCAGCATTAAGGACGAAGCAGAGAGCTTCATCACTCAGTCATGCATTAGAGAGCAGATCAGCTTTGTGTTAACATGCTGCTAGTAACGGATGTAGGAGCTGCATGTATAAATAATAATTTTGGCTACTTCCCAGCAAAATACTTGAGGGAGCTCCGAGCGCCTGCTTTGGCATCCTAAACGGAGCGGAGGCAGAGCAGGGCCGGGCGGCGTGCCGGTGCCGGAGCCGAGGCAGCGCGTGGGAGGAGAGGCCTTGTTTTGAGAAACCTCTTGTGGGGGCTTTGCCCAGGGCGGCGCCCACGGACGCCATTTCCCGAGCAGCACCCCGGGCCCGCCCGCTGCTGTGGGCAGGTGTAAACCCGGCCTGGGAGGAGGCACTGCCCACAAGCCGGTTGAATTCCCCGATCCAGGGGGTCGGCCAGAGCGAAGCAAGGACAGCGCTGAACGGAGCAAGGACAGCGCTGAATGGAGCCTGAAGGCGCCTGGTGGGGAGGGCTCAGCAGCGCCTGAAGAAACGTGCCTCTCCCGTCTTCCCTCACTTCCTATGTTGGACTTGGAGAGCTCAGCTGCCAAGCACAGCTGAAGTTCGGATGTGCCTCCTTGTAATGAGGCGTATAGCGCTTGCTTTATTTAGTCAGGGTCCAGATATGAGGACTGGCTTTGGCTACGTGAGCCTTTTTTTTTTTTTTTAACCTCAAAAAAAAAAGGGGGGGGGGGAGAAGATAATGATGATGCTATTTGTGTTTTACATAGTGATTTGAAGCCAAAGGAGCTTTTTTATTTTCTTTTCTTCCCAATTTAAGGAGCTTAGCTTTTCTGCTACTTAAGTATGTGTTTTAGCACATGGAGTGAGCTTGGCTCACCCTCCACTCACTCTTATATATTCAAGAGAAGAGGAGCAGGTGCTTGACCTCAAGGTGGTGGTTGGCCCACGTGGTTGAGAAGCAGGAAGACACTTGTTCTTGGTCCTTTTTCCCAGGGCTATTTCTCGTATAACTTTCATAAGGCATTCAGGGCTTCTTGGATTTCCTTCAGAAGACCAAGTGCTCCCTAATAACAACCTAGGGAGTGCAGTTTATGACTGAGAGTCCCACCAAAGTGAAACTTGGCTGTTCAGTTTTAGGTAATAGCATGTGTGTCTTGGGGAGCACCTATAATATGCCAAAAGGCAAATTCCAGAAAATGAGTCACTTAGTGAATTCAGTAAACAGTGCCTATATTTAAAATAAATTATTTGTGTTTTGTTTGAAAAAAGCTGTTACTGGTTTTAACAATTAATTCTTTAACTTCCCTATTTTAAAATGAAAAAAAAAAGTTAACTTTTGTGATCACCTGTATTTTTGTAAGCAATTTTAAAATTTTATAGCTGTTGCAGTTACTGTCTTAACTTAAGGGTGGTATTTTTTCAGATGCATTTTAGAGTGAAGTCAGAGCACAGCTTGCAAATGAGTGTGGTGTTTTCTCATTTACACAGATCCAGTGTCCATCTTGCCAATTTGTCTGGTGTTTTAAGTGCCACTCTCCCTGGCATGAAGGTGTTAACTGTAAGGAATACAAAAAGGGAGACAAGCTGTTGCGTCACTGGGCCAACGAAATTGAGCATGGGCAAAGGAATGCCCAGAAGTGTCCGAAATGCAAGGTAAGTTATTTTCTGTTGGCTCGCAGGTCGTCTTCTCAAGCGTTTGTTTTTTAAAATATTTATCCAGAGTAAATAGTTGTAGCTGCAACTCTGGGTTTAGAAATCACGCTTGCTGTGCCGATTCTCAGCTCAGGCCTGCGGAGAAAAGAATCAAATATTTTACATACCAATTCCTGAAATGATTCTGCAGACACCTTGCACATAAAATAAACATTATGGAAATTCTAAGAAAAGGTTCCATCTTATACTCATGATGTATGTGTGTTGCAATCCAAATTATTCCTGAAATAAAGCTTTGAAGAAATGTAATGCCATCTGTCGTGTTTTTGTTTGTTTTTGTATTTTTTCCTCCAAAATCTTGAGTGAATTCAGTAGCTGAATACCACAAAGCACTCTGTTGGCAAGTCACCTCTGAGAGACTTTAAGATTTGGCAAAACTAGAAAGGCTTTTTTTTGATTAAAGATCAGTCCTTCACAAGTCTTTCTTGTAAAGTAGTTTAATTAGTTTAGCAGTTGAAGAAGCAGT